TGTGAGGGATTGCTGAAGAGTCAATGAGTCGATGCAATCAGCTGGTTTTCCTTAGATAGAAAACTTTGAATCAATCTGACTGGATGATCTGGATCTATAAAGTGACCTGAGATGACATGATGTGAATTGGAGCTATAGAAATACACTGAATAGAATTGAAAAGTTGGTTGTCTTGCTTAAGTAGAAATTTCGGCTTCAATATTTTACCAGAGGAATAATTTTTTCATTTAAGCTCATTTCTGTTATGGCCTATTGGTATGAAAAATAAAAACGATCAAAATAATGAGTTTCATCCAGACAATTTCTTTGTGGTCAGACTCGGTGCTGCCCCAACTTGTTGCTCACCACGTACCAGAAATATGAGTTTTTCAAGATGACGCAAAGTTAAATCTGAAACCATTAGTTATAAATCTAAGAAAATGGATGAAAATGAGAATGTTTCCATTTTCCCAGCCGGATCAGAGCAATACATGAGCTGAAACTCTAGGTGGCGCCAGGGAGCCGTTCTGTGCAGCTTCTGGCATCCTGCCGGTTGTCAGAGCCACAGACCATGGGAACAGCAGCACTGTGTCCATATAAGGCTGCAATCCATCCGCTTCCCTCTTCCTCTCCAGCTCCCTTCCGATGCCTTTCTCAGACCTGAGGGATATTTACAGAGAGCGCCTCGGCTCTTCCTTTTTAGGAGCTTCGCTGCTGTCAGATCTGCAGCATCCAGGACAGTTGGTCCATCTCTGCTCTCAGATGGGCCAAACAGATGCTTCACTTGAGCCAGAAGGCCTCAGGTCTCACGCAGCTTTGCCCCAGATGTGCTCCTCCAGCAGCACAGACTCATTTCTGTCCCTCAGACTGCTGAGAGGAATGGTTCACCTGGGAAAAGCAGCAGATTCATGCAACATGCCGTAAATACATCTGTGTAGCTGTTTCCTCTTTTAGTCTCAGTTAGTGCAGCAGCTGCCGTTTTCCTTTTTCTCTCAGCACGGCCGTCTGTCGACCCGCACACAGATCCCACATGATGAGGTCAAACACAGCAGAAAACTAACCACCGATCCATGGAGAAGATTACCTACCTTACCTCCTAAGTTCAAGAAAAAATGCACTTATTTTAAGAAAAAAGGACTTATTTAGATTTACATGTTTTACAGTCTACAGGAGATAGACCTGGACTTCCTTTACACACTGGAAAAAATCAAAAGATAAGTCATTTGAGGAGGTAAAGGAGACATTCTGCCTATAGAACAACACAATTTACATTTAAAATAAGAAAACACAATTATTTTTGTCTTATTTCAAGTGCACTTTATCTAAATATCTTATTTTGAGTAAAAATACTCATTCCATTGGCAGATCATGTCATTTACCGACTCAAATTAAGGCTAAAACCACTTAATTTAACACATTTCTACTTATTTCTAGATGGTTTTTCCAGTGCATTATTAGAATCAGGAGGCCTGGATATAAATATTTGCTTCAAAATCGTCTCACGGCTTTTATTCCCTTTTCATACCAAACTTCTTCCTTCCACTAAACTTTCCATTTACAGAAGTGAGGAGGATACTTTGCTGAGGTCACTGTGGCGCGCCCAATGCAGCGCTAACCGTTAGCTAACGGTCCCATTTTACTTCTTTTTTTGTGACATTCAAATGTTTCAGAACTGGTTTTAATAAACTAATGATGAGGAAACACTATTTTCAAAATTCTGATTTATAGAATTAAACTTCATTATTTTTTTACACTGAAGCCTGAAAATAAACAGATTCAAAGTATAAAAGCAAAGAATCAAAGAAAAAAGCTTCAGAAAACCAGGAAGCTTTGAAAAACACATTTTTATTATTAGGGTGCAGATTCAGTTTCTATCAGAAAACCAACATGTGAAGCAAAGATACGTGGAATTGACTTCAAAATAAGAATATTAAAGATTTAAATATAGAACCATGCTTCTTAGTAAAAGAGGAACTGAAAACAGGAAAATATCATCATTAAAAACGTAATTCTCAGAGGATGATGCTGCTGATTGAATCGTCTCTCTAAGAGCCTGGTGGGGGGGGGGTAAAGTGCTGTGGTCCGCTGACCTGCTTGGTCTTTAGGAGGGGGGGTCATGTCTGTGATACAGGATCAAACTAAAGATGCAGGAGGTGCACAGGTGGACAGAGGTAGGTGGGTTTAAACACTTGCATGTGGCAGCAAAAAAAAAACCCAACAGAGCTTCACCGGCGTCCCCCCCCCCCCCCCCCCCCCCCC